AAAAAAAACCCTCACTGCCTGTTGTTATTTCCACATACAGTGGGGTCTAAAGGTCCGAGACTCGAAATGTTGGGACTAAAAATTAAAACAATGAAAACGTATTAAAATAAAATGAACAATGCACCATTTCCGTGAGATACTCCTCTAAACTCCTCAAATCCGTCGATTCGCTCAGATAATATAATTTAGACGGAAACATCTGTATCGACTGTGAGTGCGTTAGAGCTCACGTGACCTGCGCCAGCGGGCTCCGGTACCAGTGCTGCTCAAAGCCGCGGTTCCGCTCCGGAGAGAGATCCGCTCGGAAGCTCCACAGGCCGCTCACGTCCTTCACTTCTCTGGAGGGAGACTCTGTGGGAAACAGCATGCCGCCCTGCAGCGCCTGACACGCACCGCACAGAGCGGCGAGAAGCGCGCATACCGCTCCGGTGGAGCCCATCATCACGCGCTGCTCGACGGTGTGTTTACACAAGCGCTCCACTTCCGCTGCGCGCGGCACGACGCTTCCTTTGTTTTTAATCACTTTATTAAACCTTCAAATAACAAACAGGCTGAGCTGTCAGCGGTGTAGTAACTGATTACAGGTGGCCAACGCGGTTGATTTGAACGTGGGCGTGGTTTGCTCAACGGGGGGCGTGTCCACCGATGCTTTACATTCAGAAGCATGCTTTGCTTTATTCTGGAGTTGCCATTCAGCTTGTTTTCGGTCAGATTTTTATTCATTCACTAAAAGCTCACATCATGGCCAGCTGTCAACTGTGCAAATGTTTTATTCCCCCCCCCAGCTCCCCACCTCCACCGCCTATGTTTTATCATAAGATATATATGTTTTAATATTAATTAATCCGCTACTTCTAAATGTATTTTACATAAATGGTAACATAGGGGAAATAAGCCTTTGTTTTTAATTTAATTTAAAATCAGATGAATATCTAAAACAATTTTATGTTTGAAAAATAAAGCTGTAAATAACTTTTATTTCCATCGTTTGGTTTTATTTCTTCATTTTAATATTATAATAAATTTTTTTTTGTTTATTTTATTATATTTGATCATAATTAGTTTATTGTACCCTGGCTGTTTTTGTAATTCATTAAAATCAATTAAAAAATGCGTCAATAATAATAATAATAAAACTTATTTAAACTTAATATATTATATTATCATGCATTTTATTTATCTAATACTTATATGGTTGTATTTGTGTTATACATTCATGGAAACAGAAGGACACCTTTTTTTTTATAGTAATCAATGATTTTTGAGAAGCCTGTATAATATCAGATAAATAATACTCCACAGACTCAAAAATGTAAATATACTCAAAGTCAAATCGACTTAAAATATAAAACACGAACGTGCAGATGTGGTTTTGACCACGAGAGGGAGACAACACATCACTCAAAGCATCTCGTGCACACAGAATAATGATTATGAATCATAGTATGGCTACAGAAACTCTTATGCACCTAGAATAAAACTAATAGGTGTAACTAAGTGTGTTTAAAGTCTCTCAGGTGAGACAGAATAAGATCACCCGCGTCTGCAAATGCTGTATATTGTGGCAAACTTCAGTATATCGTGGACATTATTCTCAACCTAGCAAAAGATGTTTAGATTATTGATTTATTTAGTGCAAGAAAGATGTGTTTCCATTACAGCCGCCTCTCTACCTCCCCCAGCATCTCTGGAGGAAACATGCCACGTTGCTTCAGGTGGACAGGTGAAGATCTCTGGAAAACCTTAGACAGTTTGAGGTAAGTTTATCTTATATTTGTGTTTATTAACTGGATTGAACTGCAAAATATAGTCTGTTCAGGTGAATGCATGAGGGGGAGACCTGCATATATATACTGTATATAGGCCTGATTGTTGTGGGTACTGCTATG